GCTTTAGTCCTGGTTTAGACCTGGTTTAGATCTAGTTCAGACCTGGTTTAGTTTCCAGCAGTGAGTGGAATTACTAAAAAAAAAAAAAAAAAGAAAAAAAAAAGGGGGGATTTAGCCCAAAATGTGAAAACAGGAAAATACTTCTGTGTAATCCATTTATTTCAACAAAGTAACTGTAATCCAATTACCACTCACTGAAACAGTAACTGTAACTGAATACAGTTACTCATAATTTGTACTCTGATTACTTAACTCCGGTACATGTAATCTGTTACTCCCCTCTCTCTTCACCTCTTTCTCTTTCTCTCTTCTCATCTCCCCCACTGTTCCCTTTCTCATTTTTCTTTTTTCCTTCCTACTCTTTCTTCACCTTTCTTCCTTCTCTCTTTTGTCTTCTCTCCTGTCTCTCCCTCGCTCCTGTTTTTTCCTTTCTCCCCCACTGTTCTCTCTCTCTCTCTCTCTCTCTCTCTCTCTCTCTTTTTTCTCTGTTCGTTCGTTCTAATTTTAGCCTGTGGAGAAGTCGGTGTAGAAACCCGGACACGCTGGACCATCCATCTCTCAGCCCAGAGGACGTTTTATTAACAACGGCGTCGAAGGGGCAGAGTCCAGCAACGACCAACAGAGATAAAGGAGCAGATGTAGTAAAAGTACAAGTAAAAGTAAAAGTACAGGAGTAAAAAGTGCTATATTACACAAAATTGACTCTTGTGAGCTTTAAGTCGTGTTATAATGTCGTTACCTCATCAAAAACAGACCTGGAGTTGTGTTTTGTTTCCGTGTTTATTCCTTTGTGTGAACTGGGATTTTCTGTGTTCACAAAAATAAAGACAAATCACAGAAACAGACTGAATGTTGCTCCTCTGACTGAAACACGCTACAAAAACACTGACAGGTCCAACTGTCTCACGAGAAATGTTCAAATGTTAAAACATGTTTTGTATCATTTCTAATCTTTTTGTAATTATTTTATTGACTATTTTGTTCTAATTTTGCTGGTTCAATTGAATGTTGAAAAAAAAAAAAAAAAGAAAATGCTACATTTAATGTCCAAATAGGCGACTTTACCTTTTATTGCTGCTTCAACTTTTGTTTTTCATCGTTGAAAACTTGAGTAATACTAATTGTTCAGAGAAAAACGATCACTCAGTCAACAATAAAATATCCTTTTTAATGTTCAATAATGCTCAAATCCACCTTTATTTTGTCATTTAAGAATAATGTCTATTGACTTGAGTCATGCAGGTTTGTGACTTTTAAAATATGGATCCCCAGAAAAAAAAGGTTTGGGAAACACTCTCTTGTTGTATTTTAATACACACTGGTTCCAGTTACCTTTTTTAACAGCTCCTTTTACCTTTAGTTCAGTAAAGATTGGCAATTCCAGGGTTGAAATTTTCCAAATGATTCTAGGGAAGATGTTGTTACGGCCACAGGCCTCCAGATCCTCCTGGCCATATTTGCCTAGATCCGTGTGTGTGTGTGTGTGTGTGTGTGTGTGTGTTTGCAAGCCTCCATATGCAGACCCCCGCTGTGATGCTGTGATTGGAGGAATCGATTTAAGATGGCATCTGGAGCCCCTCCCGCTGAATGGTGGAAACCTGGAACACCTGGCCAATCCCAGGCCTACACCTGGAGCTCCGGCCCTATAAAAGGACCCGCCCCCTGCCACTCAGGGCAGCTGTTCTGTTTGTGGACTTGCTTGCCACCTTTGTGTCTCTCGTGCTGTGTTTTGTTGAGATACTAGAGTCCTGGTGACTTAGACTGTTTTTTGTTTTTCTGTTTCATTTAGTGTACCCCGTTTTGGTTTGCTTATCTTTCCTTATATTGTTAGCCACTCTGTTTAGAGCCTCTTTTTGTTAATTCTTGTAAGAATCATTGTTTTGTTTGGTTTACCTTACAATTCTGTTAAATAAATCACTACTTTAGTTTTACCATTTTTCAATCTTGGTTATTTTGTTACTTCCCCCTGTCCCTAGCAGAGCTGGGTCGTAACAGATGTGTGAGAGACAGAGTACTTCCTGTATCACCATATGACATCACAAAGTGGATCAGAGTGTTGTTTGTTTGATGGAAGAACTCAGCCTTAATCTGCAGTGTTTGTGTGTTAAACATGTGAATGAAACAAAACAGAACTTCAGGTCTGTTTGTGATGAGAAACAACATTATAACATAATCAAAAAATATGGGCCCTTTAACCTAAGTAAGTACATATACATTATGTATATATGTGTGTGTATGTATATATATATATATATATATATATATACATACTCTTTTTTCCTTTATATATATATATATATATATATATGTATAAAGGAAAAAATAATAATTTGGGTGTATTTGATCCGCCAGGAGAGCGGGAGGGTTAATGCTCTACTGTGGAACAATAAACTTTGAATGCCTCTTTTTCAGTCTAACTGCCTTTTTGTGATCAGCAGCCTCCAAAGTGTCAACTGTCTAATGTTCTGAATTGTCTCTATTTGATGTATTTCAGTAGAGACAAGCAGAGACTTTCAGGTCAGATCTGTGGAGAGGCGATACCGCTCTCAATAAGAACGTGTATTTTTAGCTATTAAAACACTGTATTTGATAAATGCAGATTAGATAAGTTTGATTCTATATTGTGTGGACCATCTTAGGCAGAACAATAACACCACTAAAGTCACATGGTGCATCTTTAAGGTAGATATTGTGCGTCAGAAAAAAAACCCAAACAGTCAAACTTGAGCCAAAATGATTTATTTAAACCACTCTCAGCTTCATCCAAAATGTTAGCGAACTAAAAGGGCTTATATTTAGATCAGTATTACACTTTTATAAGGACAAGTCAACGGGGTTAGTGCACAGACACGTACAGCAGTGGAAAAGCGTGAAACGAGGCGCCCTCTGCTGGAGAAACACCTGAACTACAGCAATGCGCTGAAAAGCAAACGTAAACAAGGATAAAAACAGGAATATATTAGACATTTTTTAATTAAATTTCTGACATTTCAGTAGTGGGCTTTTGCAAATAATTAAAATTAAGAAAAAAATTTAAAGTAAACAAATTTTATATATATTTTTAAAGGGTTTTTGTTGTTATTTCTGCCGTGATTTCATTAATGTGATCTGTAATGTAAATTTCTGACTTACCCAAAATAAAAACATAGATAAATCTATATTAAAATGTTGTTTCCTCATTAAAAACATGTCAGCAGCTGTGTTTTGTTTCATTCACATGTTTAACACACAAATACTTCAAATACAACTTGTGATGTCATTGAGTGGTCATAAAAGAAGCACTCCAGTGTGTTTTTAAACTCCACGCAGCTTCTCTAGAATCATTTGGATCATTTACAACCTTTTTTATTATTATTAGGGCTGGGGACCATTAAGAAGTTGCCGATACGATACATTCTTCGATACAGTGCACTTTCGGTTCAGTATTTTCAGTACTTCAGTTCAGTATTCAGTGTACTTCAACTTGATTTGATATGGTTCAATAAAAAATAAAGTCTAAACCACGGCTGTGATACTAAACGTCTCTGTTAAACCACTTCTTGTGCAAAGTTCATGTGAAAAAAAGCACATTTTAATCATCAAAACAGTGAAAATGTCAAATGTGCAGTGTTGGGGAGTAACAGATTACATGTACTGGAGTTATGTAATCAGAGTACAAATTATGAGTAACTGTATTCAGTTACAGTTACTGTTTCAATGAGTTGTAATTGGATTACAGTTACTTTGTCAAAAAGATGTTTTCTTGTTTTCACATTTTGGGCTGTATCCCCCCTTTTCTTTTTCTTTTTTTTTTTGTCTTCCCCCCGGTAATTCCACTCATTGCCGGACACTAAACCAGGTCTAAACCAGGTCTAAACCCAGGTCCAAACCAGGTCTAAACCCAGGTCCAAACCAGGTCTAAACCCAGGTCCAAACCAGGTCTAAACCCAGGTCCAAACCAGGTCTAAACCCAGGTCTAAACCAGGTCTAAACCAGGTCCAAACCCAGGTCTAAACCAGGTCTAAACCAGGTCTAAACCCAGGTCCAAACCAGGTCTAAACCCAGGTCCAAACCCAGGTCCAAACCCAGGTCTAAACCCAGGTCTAAACCCAGGTCTAAACCAGGTCCAAACCAGGTCTAAGCCCAGGTCCAAACCCAGGTCCAAACCAGGTCTAAGCCCAGGTCCAAACCCAGGTCTAAACCAGGTCCAAACCCAGGTCTAAACCCAGGTCTAAACCAGGAATAAACCAGGTCTAAACTAAACCAGGTCTAAACCAGGTCTAAACCAGGACTAAACCAGGACTAAACCAGGACTAAACCAGGTCTAAACCCAGGTCTAAACCCAGGTCTAAACCCAGGTCTAAACCAGGACTAAACCAGGACTAAAACAGGATTTAACAGGACTGAACCATGCCACTGTCTTTTATCACACAAAACATCTCATGTGAAGATTTCCTCGTCTTTGTTTCTCTACAGCAAATCAAGTAATCCAAAGTATTCAGATTACATTACTCACTTTAAGTAATTTAATGGATTCCGTTACAAACTACATTTTGGGGGTGTGTAATCTGTAATCTGTAGGGGAATATGTTTTAAAAGTCACCTTCCCAACACTGCAAATGTGTCACATAAATGAGTTTCCTTCCACTAAATGAGCTGTAACTAAATATTTTAACAAAATACACCAAAAAAATACTCTCAGTGATACATCGATACAGCAGCCCACGATATCGATACCGTATCATCACATTAAACGGTGCGATATATCGATATTTCTGATATTTTTGCACACCCCTAGTTATTATAGTGTATTACAGAGTGTGACAGAGGCTGTTAACTTTAAAACTACTACTACTTGATGACATCACAAGGTGGAACAGAGCATTTTGAGGTTTGGAGATGTAGTCAGACTAATAATAAAGTTACTCAAACGTGTGTGACTGAAACAAAACACAACTCCAGGTCTGTTTTTTTGACGCGGTAACAACATTATAACGCGACTAAAAGCTCACAAGAGTCAATTTTTTTGCGTAATACAAGACCTTTAATAAAATGTAGAGATACTTTTATGTTTGGCTTTAAATAAATCACTATTCATTTGATTTTATTTTTATACAATTTCATAAAAGGCACAGCACGGGCAACATTGCAGCTTTGGATTTGCGGCGTTCGCAACAATAAAAGGCCACAGTATTTTTGTTTTAAAAGCAGACGAGACGGAGAAGAGAAAGTGAAAAGAAAGAGGAGGGACTGAGAGAAGAAGAGAGTGGAGATAGAAAAAGAGATGAAAAGGCAGGAGAGAAAGAGAATAGAAGAAGAGAGTAGCCACAATGTTTATAAGTAGACGGGACATTACAGTAAACATTGACAGAATATTTGCATAGTTAATAAAGCAGGTTATATTAACACTCTTTTCTTTTTTATTATTATTATTTTGCCAATTTGAAAAGTTCATTCACCGATTTTCTTATTTGCTTTTTATTTTAGAATTTTATTTTATTTTTTTTTAGGTACTTTTTGGTTGGGGGTTCATCGCCTGCTCGTTTCTATGGAGACGTCATTGCTGAAAGTGCCTGGAATGTCCCACAGTGTGACTTTAAACAGCTCTACCTTACGTTTATTCAATTACAGGTGGTTTTTATGGCTCAAAAATATCTGGAAAAACATTGTCAAAAACGTTCTGATTATGAGCGGGGTCGCCTCTCCACAGATCTGACCTGTAACTTTTTTTGGAAATAAGGTTTAATGCCGTACTGTGAAACATTCCAGACAAAGCAATAACATCTTCAAGGAGAAAAGCATTTGAAGGACCCTCCACCAGAAAAGTTACACAATGAAGCTTTAAGAAATAGTGAATCCGTGTATCATTCTTTCATTCGTTTTTTTTTTTAAATATAAAACCAAAAATAAGAAAACGATAAAACCAGGACTGGACAAGGACTGAAACAAGACGAAACCGAGACGAAACCGGGACTAAACCGGGACTAAACCGGGACTAAACCAGAACTAAACCAGAACTAAACCGGTCTCTGTCCTGGTCCAGTCCTGGTCTAGACCTGGTCCAGTCCTGGTCCAGTCCGGCACAGCAGTTTAAGTCACGGAAACATTATTCATCTAAACACAAAATCGAAAACCAAAAAAAAAACAAATCATTATCCGTTTTTCATTTTGGTTTTGGAGACAAATAATAAAGAAAATATTAGTTTTTTCCGTTTTATTTTTGGTTTTACTTTGAAAAACAAATGAACGAATGATACTTGGACTCTAACGGTTTATTTTAAATCTAGACCCTAAAATAAGGCAAACTCAGTGAGCACGTTAACACAATAAAGGTGTTTTTTTTTTTGATTATCAGTGCTAAAATGTCAAAATTACATTCAAAAAACTTGAGTAAAACAAAACAGATATGATGTTTCTTCATGTGTGTGGGTGACAAACAAAAGCCAATGTAACGGTTTATTTACTGCAGATTGTAAAATAGATTGTAAAAAGTAAAGTTGCTGCCTAAAATTTGAAATATTAAGACCACTTTTGACCGATTTTGGTTTAGAGAAAATTGTAAATTATCGTAAAAGTTAAAGCACGACGCAACTTTTCTAGAGGAAGTTACGCCACCTGCTTGTCTGGAGTCGGATACGTTTAACGCTACACTGCGGAATATTCCAGGCACATGGCAACAACATCTCCACGGAGACGAACAGATGAAGTTACAGGTCAGATCTGCGGAGAGGCGAGCCCGCTCACAGTAAGAACGTGTGTTTTTCGAAGCGTTTCAGAGCTTTAAAAACACCTGTGATTAACCGGATAACAGTTTAAAGCCCTACAGTGGAACATTCCAGGGAAGATCAATGTCTCCGTGTGGCGTTGCCTTCATTAGAAAAGTTACACAGTGCAGCTTTAATGGAACAAAGAGGCCATGAGGTTAGCTACAGCCGGGGGAGTTAAAGCTTAATTCATACATTAATTCCAGTTTAGTAAAAAAAAAAAAAAAAAAAAAGGATTTTCCAAGTATTTTTTTTGATTGCCTGGATTGTCAACTTTATATTTGTACGTTTTTTAGGATTTAAAACGAATTTATTTATAAACTGTTAGTAATTTCTTCCGTCTACAGAGAAGAAAGCTCATTTCTAAAGCCATTTATAACTCTAAAAGTATAAAATATATTCACTATTTGGCATCGATCTATTTTTGACACAATACAAAATGAACTGCATGCATAAAGATATACGGGTAATTTTGCTTTATAATGTTGAGAAGTGAGAGGCCGGGTTTGAGCTTTAGTCACTTCCTCCACAGAGTTTCAGCAGCAGCTTCTTGTAGTCTCCAGATGTGTCCCCCTAAAAAGACGAGGTTTAGTTTTATTTTGTTTTAATGGTAGAAATGTAGGTTTGGAGATGAAGATGCAGAGGAAAAGAAGGAGAGGAAGGTCAGATGAAGCACAGGATGCAGAGGAGAAGGTCAGATAGAGCAGAGGAAGAACAGAAGTGGATCAGATGGATCAGAGGAGAAGGTCAGCTGAAGCGGAGGAAGCAGAGACGAGGATTAGATGGAGCGGAGGAGCATAAGAGAGGGTCAGATGGTTCAGGGCTGAAGGTCAGACGGAGCAGATGAAGCAGAGAAGAGGATCAGTTGAAGCAGAAGGATTAGAGGGTCAGATGGAGCAGAGGAAGAAGGTCAGCTGGAGTGGAGGAAGCAGAGGAGATTATCAGATAGAGCAGAGGAGCAGAGGAGAGGGTCAAATGGAGCAGAGGAGAGAGTCAGATGAAGTAGAGGAGAAGATGGAGCAGAAGAGAAGAAGGTCAGATGAAGCAAAGGATGTAGAGGAGAGGGTCAGATGGAGCAGAGGAAAAGATGAAGCAGGGGAGGAGGTCAGATGGAGCAGGGGAGCATAAAAGAGGGTCAGATGGAGCAGAGGAAGCAGAGAAGGGGATCAGGTGTAGCAGAGGAGAGGGTTAGAGGAGAGGGTCAGAGGAGCAGAGGAGAGGAGCAGAGGAGAGGTCAGATGGAGCAGAGATCAGATGGAGCAGAGGAGAAGGTCAGATGGAGAGGAGAGGGTCAGATGGAGCAGAGGAGGTCAGATGGAGAGGGTCAGATAGGAGAGGAGCAGAGAGAGAGGGTCAGATGGAGCAGAGGAGCAGAGGAGAGGGTCAGATGGAGCAGAGGAGAAGGTCAGATGGAGCAGAAGGAGAAGGTCAGATGGAGCAGAGGAGCAGAGGAGAAGGTCAGATGGAGCAGAGGAGAGGGTCAGATGGAGCAGAGGAGCAGAGGAGAGGGTCAGATGGAGCAGAGGAGAGGGTCAGATGGAGCAGAGGAGCAGAGGAGAAGGTCAGATGGAGCAGAGGAGAGGGTCAGATGGAGCAGAGGAGCAGAGGAGAGGGTCAGATGGAGTAGAGGAGCAGAGGAGAAGGGTCAGAGAGAGAGAGAGGAGTCAGATGGAGAGAAGAGTCAGATGGAGCAGAGGAGGAGATGGAGGAGCAGAGAGAGAGGGAGAGGTCAGATGGAGCAAGAAGGAGATCAGAGGAGCAGAGGAGAGAGAGAGGTCAGAGAGCAGAGGAGATGGAGCAGAGGAGAGGAGATGGAGAGAGGAGCAGAGAGAAGGTCAGATGGAGCAGAGGAGCAGAGAGAGGGTCAGATGGAGCAGAGGAGCAGAGGGAGGGTCAGATGGAGCAAGGAGAAGGGTCAGATGGAGCAGAGGAGAGGGTCAGATGGAGCAGAGAGAGGTCAGATGGAGAGGAGAGGGTCAGATGGAGCAGAGGAGCAGAGGAGAGGGTCAGATGGAGCAAAGGAGAGGGTCAGATGGAGCAGAGGAGAGGAGAGGGTCAGATGGAGCAGAGGAGCAGAGGAGAGGTCAGATGGAGCAGAGGAGCAGAGGAGAGGGTCAGATGGAGCAGAGGAGAGTCAGGTGGAGCAGAGGAGAAGGTCAGAGGAGTAGAGGAATCATACGATGGAGGATCAGTACTCACAGAGATGTGGGTGTACAGAGACTTCCCGTAGGCCTTCAGATATTCCTGCCTGATGTCCAACATGTCCACCTCGGCGCGGGACACCATGATTCGGATCAGGGTCCTGTCCTTAGTCCCAGCTCCCTGAAAACACAGAACTTTATTATCATTTGGAACAATCGAGCATTTAACTAAAATATAATAACAACAATATTAACTTAGATTTGTATTACGATTTATAAGCCTCATAAAGTTGTACTCGCTCATTATTCGTCCACTCCCCACTCTTTATGTAAAGCAATTTGAGTTATTATGAAATCAAAATGGCTGCAATTATTTAGATTATAGAATTTTCTTTGCAAAGAACTAAATATTTTGTCTTTTGTCCTGTTGGCGGAACTATTTGTGCGTTATGCAGTTTTAACGCACGGCAGTTTGACATTGGGATTCTCACTGACCAAAACAAGCCCAATCAGAGATATCAACCTGGTCCAGTTCATCACCACAGAAGCAGTTTATGAGGAGTCCAGCCCATTTTACATGATCGTTATATCCACAATGTAATGTGTGTATCTGTACAGGCCCAGGTACATTTGTGTGATATTGGTCACTGTGGGGAGACTGGCCAAAGTGGTCAAAGTAGGAGGCAGATGACACAAAAAAGGTGTCTTTACGCAGACAAAATTTATTTTAAAAACAGACTTCTGGTATAGGCTCAAATAAAGTACAAAAAAGTGAAAATAAGTGACTCAAATCAACAAACACCAAACAACCTGCACAGAAGTCTCTCCCTAATTGGTGACACCTACTTGCCTTTTTACCCCACCCAGCAGGAAGTACCTCCCCCCAGGTGAGTATCCAGGTAACTCCCAAAGCAAAGCAAGTCCTATATAAACTAATATGAATTTAAAACATGAATTTAAAATGAGACAAAGGCCCCACTTTGTCACAGTCACACATGAGAATGTCTGAGTTTACTAGTGTGTAACGAAAATGTCATTTGTCATGAGTTGTGTGTATGTTAGTTGTGTGACTGTGGATCAGTGTGTTGTGTATCACCAGAAAAAGAAGAAATGGAAATGATTTTTGTTCCAATTAGAATTTTAACAGTATAAACTGAAAGAGAAAGGAACTGTTATAATTAGTGATTATCTCGAATATTTTACTTAGTGCTGTCATGCGATTAAAAAAATTGAGAGATTAATTAATTATGATCTGTAATTAATTAATCTAAATAATCTCATTTTAATCTCATCTAAAAATTGCTGAGAAAAGCTTCAATTTGAGGTATTTTCATTTAAATTCATTATTACATTATTGTGGCAGATCAAAAGACTCATATAGAACAAAAAAAGTGACTTTATAAAGTCATTTATTGTTTAACAAATCTCTACAAATTGGCTGTTGAGCCCAAGTCTCATTGCGTTTTGTGTGGGTTTCCGGCAATGAGTGAAATTACCGAAATAAAAAAATGTATAAATGTGGTTTTTTTTTGTGTGTGTTGTTGTCCCAGCAACACATAAAAACAGATTTTATAATAAAGCAACTCACATACAGAAACAGTAAAGTTAGAGATTAAAAATGAGATTAACGCGATTAAAAAACATAGCGCGCTAAATATGACTGTAATTAATTAATCGCAATTAACGCGATAATTGGACACCCCTAATTTTACTACACAAATGCATAGAATTATAAATAGATAATAATTTTTTTTTAATTTTGAGACTACTCCCGTTGCTCGAGCTTGATCCTTCGCGGAGTTATGACCAAAAACACATATTTGACCTTGACCAGTTTCAACCTGTAACATCCAGTGTACCTCGGTTATGTGTGTGCCAACTTGTGTGACGATTGGGTGAATATTTTAGCCCACAGATGGTTCAGAAATTACCGAAATTGCCGATCCTTTATAATTGTGTGACCTCAAATGACCTCAGATTATCACCAAACACGGGGGCTTGACCCACGTACCAAATTTGGTGACAATCGTGGAATTATCGCGGGTGGACAGACACACAGACACACAGGGTGAATACAAAAAACAAGTAAAGTAAACAAGTAAACAATAAAAAAAAGTAAAAAAGTTTGATGATGTAAACAAATACATTTATAATTATGATCAGAGTTGTCCTTACCGCCATGGCCTTGTGCAGCCGCTCTGCGAAATAGGCCGGGGTGTTCTTGATGCATTTGACTAGAAAAAAAAAACAAAACAACCATTACATAAACATTTGAAGTACATGTTATTCATCTCTGTACATACATTTGTGTACTGTGATTATTATTAGTTATGAAACGAAAAAAAACAAAAAAAATCCTTAAATTTTTTCATTCTCATTGTAGTTTATTTTGTTAGATCATAAACGATAAACTTTTGTGCCTTTGTAAACATTATTATTAGTTTGTACGACCATTAAAAAATAAATAAATAAATAAATTTTTTCATTCTCATTTTGCTTATTTTGATTCGATCATAAAAGATAACCTTCTGTGCCTTCTTTTTCATTATTATTAGTTTGTAAGACCATTATACAGTACAATACAAATAAAATGGAAGAAATTCAGTTAAAATTATATTTAGTATACACAGTATGTAATTTATTTTGCACATAATTTTTGAAACTATGTAATGAACAGCAGTGGGTTAATATAAGTTTTTCTTCTTCCCACTTTTTTTTGAGAGAAATTTGCTTTTCTGTTGTTTACAATGTACAATGTGTGGTGTGTATGAATATTGTTTCTCTTTTGGCACAAACTCAAAATAAAAACAAATTGAATTGTCTTTATACGTTACAATTCTGCTTTACAGACGTTGTGCAGGATGTTTTAGTTTCGCAGCGTTACATTTCACACCCAGTATTTATCTCATACACGGAAAAGTCAAAAAACCAGTTTGTGCAGGTAATAAAAATGAGCTGTCCGGTTTATTTAAGGTTCTTCGAAAGCCTGGGGATCCCGTGTTTAACTTCTGACTCATGCTTCGTTTATATCTGAGTCAGACTGAGTTACGTTCACAACAAACTCGTTTCCTCTGTTACTGTTGCACAATGTTTAATCAGAGAGACTAGAGTGTATCTGCTGTTAGTGTGTTTTCTGTATTATAAATGTGTCAAGTTAAAATCATTTTACCGCACACAGTCTATTAGGGGTGTGCACTGCCTTGAGTCTAACGAGTCAATACATCCCGATACTAAATCAATGGATGATATATTGCGATTTATCAATAATTACTTCTAATAATACAGTCGTCTACACCTTCGAGAGAACACAACTGTATGAAATATAATGTATTATTTTTAAATGATGAGAACAGTGAATGTAACTAAAGAATTTTTGGGAAAAATATTATTACCTCCGCCAAGGAGGTTATGTTTTTGCTGGCGTTTGTCTGTTTGTTTGTTTGTTTGTCTTTTAGCAACATAACTCAAAAAGTTATGGACCGATTTTGATGAAATTTTCAGGATTTGTTGGAAATGTGAAAAGGAAGAACTGATTTCATTTTGGGGGTGATCCGGAAGAAATCCTGGATTCTGGATCACTTTGAAATTTTAGTTAACATTTGAGGTAAATGGGGCCAAAAATTTTGTTTCTCAATATCTCGATTAATTATTGACCAAACCCCATGAAATTTGACTCAGGGATGGACAATGGGATCCTCTTTCATATTCCAAATTGAAAGATACGAGACAAATATTTATGGAAAACACAATTAATATTAATATTAATAAATTAATATAAACAAACAAACAGACAAACGCCAGCAAAAACATAACCTCCTTGGCGGAGGTAAAAATTTGAAAACTTGCTGGGGGCTAATCAGATATTTCGTAACTACCATTATATACATGAAAATGTATTTAAATGTTATTCTATAAACCACCAGGTTATCGAAACATTCTGCTGTATTATTAATGTCATCAGTTGGCACATACTGTATCTGGTGAACAAAGAACCTTTGAAATCTTCATATCTGAATCTTTGAGAGTCTATGGGGAAAAACAATAATAACTCTTTATAGCCGTTGTCCCCAACCTTTTTTGTGCCATGGACCGGTTTTAAGTCCGACAATATTTAAATATTTTGCAAACCGGATGAGAGACAATTTCACGGACTGGCAGCATCCTGCTTTAGTTCTGGCTTTAGTCCTGCTTTAGTCCTGGCTTTAGTCGTGGTTTTAGTCGTGGCTTTAGTCCTGGCTTTAGTCGTGGTTTTAGTCGTGGTGTTGTTGTTGTAGACCTGGTTTTAGAGGCGGGGAAACAAGGGAGTAGTTGCAGTCCACGAGGCATACGGGAGGGGGGGTTCACACTTTCACCGCCCGATACAAAATGACCCCCGGCCGGTCCACAGCCCGGGGGTCGGGGACACTGTTTTATAGTATTTGCCGTGATTTAGATGTAATAAACTTATAGTTTACTTTAAAGATGCCATATGTAACTTTTCTGGTGAAGGCTCTGCCATCTGCTTGCCTGAAATGTTCCACAGTATGGCATTAATCAAATCCATTTCCAAGGAGACAAATGATGCCACAGGTCAGATCTGTGCAGAGCAGAGGCAACTCCACTCACAATAAGAATACATGTTTTTAAGATAATTAAATGAAATGAAAAGAAAGACAGAAGTGTGACACTCCAGGCCGTCCATGAGACAAGTAGACAAGCAGGTGGTGCATCTTTAAATATATCTTTTAATAATCCTCGTATTAACAAAGTGTAGTTTAAATTCAGTACTGACCCACAGCCACCATCCCAGACTCGACGTTCCCGGACATCTCTCTGCAGATGCTCTTCTCGATGTCTCTGCCACACATCTGCTGGTACTCGTGGAAAACTGGCGAGAAAAAAGAAACACACACAGTTTAACTATACAAGAACATCATGTTTTCTCTGGACAATCTTCTGTCACATTTACTGCCACATACGGAGTAAAAAAAGCCTGTAGCATCTCAAATGTCCATCGCTCCTTAGTTAAGACTCTTGAAAAACGAACAGTTCATTTCACACAAACCAACATTTGGGCTGAAGCTGCAGATTATTGATCAAGACTCTACTTCCTGTGCACTTTATCACCAATTGTCTGTTTATCTGAAGTATCGCACCACATTTCACACATAATAATAATAATAATGACACAGTTTTGACTTGTATCTAAACGAAGTGCAGTGTTCTGATCTTTTGCACATTTAAGAGTCAAAGCGAGTGGTTTAACTTTAAAAAACAGGAAACCACAGACGTGAGGTGCATTCAGACCTTTAGCCTGTGGTCTGCGCCCATTATCCTGCATATCCAGCCTTTACGATTTGAGATTTTATTTCTCATCAGATTCTCTTCGTGTCTGTGGTTTGCGTTTTTGTTGCATGTTTAAAAATAGTTTAAAACAGAAAACAGAAACATCCTGTAGCGTGTGGTGGCTTTAAGTGTTAGATTTATAAGACAGTACATGACATGACCATACCTACAGTATTTTTCGGATTTTAAGTATAAGCGGTGCGACTTATATATTAAAATGTTCACACTGAAGTGTCGAGAGGTTCTAGTCTTGTGTGTGAGTATCTGCTGCTCCTGTTCCTCCTGTACCACTGTCACTTGGCTCTACTGCTCATGTCTCCTGCAGAAAGAGCCTCTGTCCTGATGCAAGTCGTGAAATATTCAGCTGAAAACGGTAATCGAGCAGCAGAAAGAAAGTTTGGAGTGAGCGAGAAACTTGTGAGGGACTGGGGAAAAGTGGGGATGAAAAACACAGCTTCAGCGGGAGGATGCACCACGAAACTTTCCTGGAAGTCACTGGATGGAAGGACAAAGCCTGGACTTCAGTGACACCGAAACCATCCTGTCGGGATTCAGAAAGACCCAAATAATTCTAACTGGAACTGATGCTGAGTCTGACGACAGCGACACAGAAGAGGAAGCGGCGCTCTGTTTACCTCCGAAGGTCGTGGAGTTGCTCTGAAGTGACACCAAGGATGAAGAATTGAATGGATTTAGTGATTTGGAGTGAGATGGAGAGTTTGTTAAACTTGTTCTGTTGTTTATGTTATAGTTTATCTGAAGAACTGTTCATATGTGACATTAACAGTCTGTTGTTCTCTCTTCTATTGTTTTTACTAGAACTTCACTTACAAGATGAAATGTCGGTCCCTGATTTTATTTTATAATATAAATTTCCCTCAAAAAGTGCGACTTGTATGTTTTTTTCTTCTTCATTACACATTTTATGGCTGGTGCAACTTATAATCCAAAAAATACGGTACAGTTGTTGCCTTAATTAAATCAAAAGTTAATTTGTTTGCTGTATTCATTACTTTCATCAGATTGTATGGCATCAAAACTCTTATATTATAATGTGAACTCCTTGATCACAATTCAGTAGCTTTCTTTTTCTCATGAGTAAATACATTAAATAAACTTAGATGGTATCTCCAAGTAGCTCAAAAATAGTTGTCCTGACAGGTTATTTTGGGACGTACCTGCTCGGAGGTGTGGTTTGCTGCGCGCGCACAGAATGGCGTTGAACTGTGATTCATCTGTGCCAACTTTGTTTTCTCCTGCAGCGTACAGTTTCTACGGCAACACAATATTAAAATTAGAGGTCGTAAATCATACATAAAGCTCCTATATTATGCAAAACTGACTTTTGTGAGCTTTAAGTCGTGTCATACTGTTGTCACTTTCTCAAAAACAGACCAGGAGTTGTGTTTTGTTTCATTCACACACAATACCAGGTCTGTTTGTGTTGAGGAAACAACGTTCTAACAGGTGAGAAAACAGCGTAACACGAGCCCTTTATATATATACATGGTTTGTGAAGTTATGTAGAAGTTACCTGGGCGTCCTGTTTGGCCAAGGAGACGTCCACGGTCTCTCTCTCATCACGGTTGCCCTGTAAGCAGATATTTGTAAATGTTGACATATTTTAGAAAGCGACACCTATGTCATTTTTTTTAGACACTGACAGGTGTGAAGCGATATCCTGTGCTTTCAGTTTCTGCTTATGTGAAAAGTAAAAGTGAAAGAAGTGAGAATATTCAACTGTATTATTATTTTTTCTTTAGCAAAGTACTCGTATTTATAGTCAATTTGCAAGATACAAGTGCAATAAACTCCAAAAACTATGACTTTTAATGTCAACAAACGTGATGGGCTCTATTCACGCTGGGATGGAAATTCTCTTAATCTGTCTTTGCGTAAATGAATGTGATTTCTTCCTGAGAACCAGACCGGTCACTAACATGAGTAAATGTAACAAGTGGTTGCTTATTACTTAGGTAATAAAAGTGTAACGAATATGAAATGATTGTAACTGTAATAACCATGTAGTAACTGTGTTATGATCATGTAATAACTGTTATGACTATTATGTGTAATTAGCAAAGTTGAATGATCAGAAGATTCTAAGTAAGGCTACTGGAGGGCAGGGGCAGTAAACTGAGACATGGGATTTGTTGAAAATGAATAAAGTGTATTATACAGGCAGAAAGTGAGACAACAAAATATACAACAGCTGCAGCAACAAAAATCAAACAATTCAGTTAAATGTCCTTGCGAACTGGGTCTGGTTGCCCAGGGTGTGAACAGAGTCCAAACTACTTCAAAGTCCAGTATGAATTATTTTGAGGTTGTATGATGTCCATAAAGCGCGGCTGATTGAATGGTTATGTAGTGGAGGTAGCTGGAGTAGGTGGGAGAGAGAGGATAGGCGGTTAGCCTCCTACCAGACCGGAGCTCTCAAAAGGACAGTTCCTAGCTCGCCATCAATTTGAACCCAAGTTTGGGCACCTGGCCAGTTCAGCAGTGTTTTAGTGTATTGAAAGCACACGTGACAATGTTGCATACTGGGTCTGGTTCTTCAAGCTCTGTCCCCTGGCTCCTCTCCCACACAACTGAGGAGAGAGAAGTCAGGGGACCTTATATACTCTGATTGGGGATGTGTGATTGGATAATTGGTGAAATGGGCGGTGTGATGGGTGGTGACAAATCAGGTGGAGAGGGGAAAACCTGGATTGGATCTGGATAAGGGAATTGAACTTTACCCTGGTTACATAAAGTTTCAGCAGACACAACTTTCACCCACAGGAAACTCTGTTGTCTCAGTTGTCCTCAAATATAAGTTAAGTTGATTAGTACGAGTCTCTACTGTGATCAGTGTTGGGAAGGTGACTTTTAAAATGTATTCCCCTACAGATTACAGATTACATACACCAAAATGTAGTTTGTAACGTAATCCATTAAATTACTTAAAGTGAGTAATGTAATCTGAATACTTTGGATTACTTGATTTGCTGTAGAGAAGCAAAGACGAGGATATCGTAACATAAGATGTTTTGAAAAGCCCAGACTTTACTGAACCGTATTAAAAATATTATTGATAGAAGAGAAGGAGACACGTCCATGCAGCATGTTGTAGTCCTGTTGCAGTCCTGTTGTAGTCCTGTTTGTAGTCCTGTTTTTAGTCCTGTTTTTAGTCCTGTTTTAGTCCAGGTTTTAGTCCAGGTTTTAGTCCAGGTTTTAGTCCAGGTTTTAGTCCTGGTTTTAGTCCTGGTTTTAGTCCTGGTTTTAGTCCTGGTTTTAGTCCTGGTTTTAGTCCTGGTTTTAGATCTAGTTTAGATCTAGTTTAGTCCTGGTTTAGACCTGGTTTAAATCTAGTTCAGACCTGGTTTAGTTTCCAGCAATGAGTGGAATTACCGAAAAAAAAAAAAAAAAAAAAAAAAAAAAAAAAAAAAGGGATTTAGCCCAAAATGTGAAAACAGGAAAATACCGTTGTGTAATCCATTTATTTTAACAAAGTAACTGTAATCCAATTACCACTCACTGAAACAGTAACTGTAACTGAATACAGTTACTCATAATTTGTACTCTGATTACGTAACTCCGGTACATGTAATCTGTTACTCCCCAACACTGACTGTGATATCTATGTAACTTGTATTTCTGTAAATTCTCAGAGCTCAGATGCTTTGGAGGGATGGAGAGAAGAGGTGATGGGAGAGAAGAGGTGATGGGAGAGAAGAGGTGATGGGAGAGAAGAGGTGATGGGAGAGAAGAGGTGATGGGAGAGAAGAGGTGATGGGAGAGAAGAGACTCAGGAGAGGGCAGGGCAGGCCTAAGACCCGTCCATACCTGCTGTAAATAGAATATACTTTTGTCTGTATTCCAAAAACTCATTGGTCTTCTCAAATTGATTAATTATTTATCATCAAGAGATACATAATTTTTTCCACAATAACACTTACGTCACAAAACCAGAAGACGTTTAGAAACATGAAGACTTCCTTTGAGCTCTGTTGGCGATAGTAACTCTAACTCTAACTGGGAAAACTGAGAAAATGGCCCAAATTTCTTCATTTAAATATCACTACATTTTTTCTTTTTTCCTTTTATAAATTGCCTATTAATTCATGCATTATAATTTGTCTAACTTAATAAAAAAAATGTAAACGGTACAAAAACTACATGAAGTTATAATCAAACTTGAATTTAGGTTAACAAACGGAAATTGTAACCCCAACGTTTCATGAAATGCACTGTGTACGTTTTAGATAATGTCTGACATGGCTTCCTGACTACAAAAAAAGATGAATGTCAGTGATTTTTGTACATAAAATTATACAGTCTTTAGTTTAATGTTATTATTAATCAGAACTGTGCATTGTCCAGCTCCCAATCCACATACGCCCTTTAAATTGACTCTGATCAACCTGTTTAAGCTAATTTGGAATTAGAAAATAAACATATTTAAGCTGCATTGCTTTTATTTTTGAGTTTTGTTAATGCCATTTTTGTAAGGCAACCTCACTTTTTCATTGCTTAGTCATCACATACATACATAATTAATGTTACGCAGAATTGAGTTAAATATTTTGGCCCGGGCTTCCACAATATTTTCTGTTTCTCGTGGAAAAGTGGCCCCATGGAAAAATTGCCCACCCCGATCTTAAAGTTAATTCGAGTTTGTACCTGACACAGAGAAACCAGGAGTCTGCGGAAGTGTCCAGACGTGTCGCTGCTGATGGCGTCCTCCAGCGGCTTTCCATACTCTGAGAAACGGAGAGAAAGAAAGAAAGAAAAAAAAGAGAAAGAAGGGGGAAGAGGACAAGAAGAAGAGAGTCAGAGAGAGGACAAGAGAGGAGGAGAGAGTAAAAGGGGAGGGAGGAAGAGAGGGGGAGAGCAAAAGAGAAAAAGAGAGTGGGGGTTAAGAGATAGATAGAGAGAGAGAGAGAGAGAGAGAGGGATGGGGGAGGAAAAAATGAGAGGTAGAGAGATGGAGGGAGGAGGGATGAGAGAGAAAGAGGGGGAAAATAGGAATAAATAAAAGAGACAGAGAGAGAAAGGAAGACATGCAGGAGAAAAAAGGAGAGGTGGACATATAGAGGGAGGAGGGATGAGAGAGAAAAAGAGAGGGAGAGGGAAAATGCGGACAGACAGAGAAAGAGAGAGACACAAGGGAGAATAAAGTAGAGGTAGAGAGAGATAAGGGGAGGGAGGAGAGATAGAAGGAGAGATGGAGAGGGAAAATACGAAGAAATAAAGAGAGAGAATGTGGTAGAGAGGGATGGAGGGAAGGAGGATGGATGGATGAGAGACAGAGAGAGGTGAGGGAGAAAAGAGGTAAAGAGAGATAGAGGGAGAAAGAGAGAGGGAAAATAGGAAGAAAGAGAGAGAGAGATTGGCAGAGAGGTGAGAAAGAAAAAAGGAGAGGTAGAGAGATAGAGGGGAAGAGGGATGAAAGAAAGAGAGGGAGGGGGAAAATAGGAAGAAATAGAGAGATGCAAGGGAGAAAAAGGAGAGGTAGAGAGATAGAGGGGAAGAGGGATGAAAGAAAGAGAGGGAGGGGGAAAATAGGAAGAAATAGAGAGATGCAAGGGAGAAAAAGGAGAGGTAGAGAGAGATAGAGGGAGAAAAAGAGAAAAGAAAAAAAGACAGAAAGAATAAAGAACAGAAGCAGAAAAGAGAAAGAGAAGGAGAGAGAGAGGGGTGGGGGAGGAAAAAAGAGGTAGAGAGGTGGAGGGATGAGAGAGAAAGAGAGGGAGTGTGGGAAAATAAGAAGAAAAAGAAAGAGAGGTAGGGGGAGAGGCGGAGGGAGGGAGAAGGAAAATAGGAAGAAGTAGAGAAACAGAGAGACAAGCGATAATAAAGGAGAAGTAGAGAGAGATAGAGGAAAAAGAAATCGAGAGAAAAGAGAAAAAGACAGACAGAGGTTTGGAGGAGGAAAAATCAGAAGAGGTAAACAGATGGAAGAATGAGAAGCAGAGAGGAAGTGGAAGAGAAAACCATTTGAATATGGCTCGACTCATGCAAATATAAAACGTGACGAGTTTTCAGCAGGTCTGGATTTAAATCACCAACAAGTAAAACAAGGTCATTCACTGGTCACATAATGAACTCCTTTTATTGTCCTTTTATATTTAAATACTCTTTTTCAAATCAATAATTTCATAATCTCACAGCTTTCGATCTGAAATTAACTTCTCCTTGCAGCGAAACAACTTAAATTTTCAGTTCTTGTTTTACTTTTTTTTTTACGTCATTACAAAAAGCTTTTTAGTTTAGTTTAATGTTTATTTGAAGGGACAATGTGCAGAGAAATTAAGATCATAAAAAACAAAGATTAACCAGATTATAGCTACGGGTAAATGTCTAGTTTCCATCTGCAGTCCCTGATTTAGATTTCGTTTTAGAAGTTTAAAATGCCAAGGTTCCCACACATTTCTTGAACAAATTTTCCAGAACTTTTCCAAAATATTTTAACTACGTAATCAGGAGATCTACACTACACGACCAACAATTTCTAATAAAATGTCGTCCCACAATGATCGCAAATGAATTAAATACAATTCTATTCACAAATTTACCGTAAATTCCGGACTATAAGACGGTACTTTTTTCTCACACTTTGAACCCTGCGGCGAATAAAACGATGCGGCGAATATATGGACGGATTCTTTGTTTGGCACATTGTTCGTTCATATATACGGTCTATGGTTTGGTAACACAGCAGATACAAGGAGCCTGAGTGCAGAAAACGCCGCTGTGTGTGCGATTTACACATGGATCTAGGGTTCACGTGAAGTTGCTACACTAATTCGCGATATTATCAGCACTAAAAGAGTTTATCGGCGTGTGATAAAATAAGTTCTGATGCTAAATGAACCTTAGTGAGGGGGATACGTCGTACTCGTGTGCGTAAATGACGAGAAGAAACGTCTTAAACTTCAGTACATGCCGAACATCCACTCATACCTGATTGATAAAACTATCCCCGCCCCTGAGAGAGTCTGAAATCTGCTGAAATCCTCCAAGAGACTGAGATGATACAGACAGAACAGAGGCTCTTTCTGCAGGAGACATGCGCAGTAGAGAGACGGCGTGATGCGCAGAGGAAGATTCTCGTTTGATTGTGTTTTGAACAGTTATTTTGCGCTTCATACACACACCCTCCTCATGGAAAACACACAAAGAAATACAGGTGATGCAGCTTTTAAGTTAAAGGCGACTGATGTGTCTGCGGAAGAAGGAAACAGAGCTGCTGCACGTGAACTCGGCGTCGATGAGTCGATGGTGAGACTTCGGCGACGGCAGCGTGACGAACTGACTCAACGCAAAAAGACGAGAAAAGCTTTCAGAGGCGATAAAAGCAGACAGCCCGAACTTGAAAACGTTCTTGAAGACGTGGACACCAGCGACTTATATTCAGGTGTGGCCTATATACGTACAATTATAACATTTTGTTAAAATTCAGCTGATGCGGCTTATATTCAGGTGCGCTCAATAGTCCGGATTTTACGGTAACCCAAAAAAATGTCTGTTAAAACTCAACTTAAACAATGTGAAATTTTTGTGCAAAAGATGTGTAATTTCCTACATTTTAGTAAGTTTTAGAGGTTCTTCAAAATCCCAAGTGCTCTTTTTTACTGTGATGGCAATAAAATAAAATAAAAGGGGAGACTAAATGTGTATTCTCCAGGACATTTGACCCTTTTTCTAATTGTTCCATGGTTCCAGGATTTCCAGGATTTGTGCGAGAAACCTAAACGTGCTGTTGAACTGACCTGATTTGTAGATCTTGCTGATTTCCCGAATTTCAGCGTTGGAGCGAGAAGACAGGATTTCAATGAGACAGGCCTCGTCAGTCCCAGCCCCCTAAAACATAAAGGAGTGTAACAAAAACGTAAATATTCTGATCTAGAATCGTCAAAAGTCTCCCAAGAATATCGTAGACCATCACAATAAATCATAAATATTAAGTTTATTTGCTTAAATTTATTGTTATAGTGCAGTGTGAGCTAAAAAGAACACAGGGAACTACATAGACCATGATGCTTTGCTCTGTTTTATGTTATTTAGCACTTTGAAATCTTAATTAGTTGGATTGTTTGAATTGATAAGACTTTAATTCTGTCATAATCCAACTAATTAAGATTTCAAAGCACCAAATAGCAGTTATTTTTCATGTAATCTGCGCTGAAATGGAGCAAAGGATCATGGTCTATGTAGTTCCCTGTGTTTTTTAGCTTATGCTGCACTATAACAATAAATTCAAGCAAAGAAGACAGAATCAAAGGCATTTTACGAGGAAAAAGCAGCATATTCACAGCTCCGTTATTCTCCAATTCAACTAAAACAATAGTTGCATAACATTTACGCTCACTACAGGCCTGAACTTGTTTTCTCCATGTTGTGATTGTGACATCGATGTTTTTTTTCCCCTCTCTGCTGTTATGATTCAAACTGAGGAATAAACCGACCACAAAACCCCAAACTAGAATTACTGCCATGTGACCGTGTTCCACAGGAAGATCTGAAAATATATCTAAGGTTTAATGCAGTTTTCAAAGGGGACGTGTTTTCTGAAATCAATTTTAAACATGTGATGACAGCGTCCACACATCTGTAGATACTTAGCAACTCTGCCTGAAGCTCTGTGTTACTCAAGTTGGTCTTTAAAGGTACATTATGTATAGGCTGAAAAGATTTTCAAAATAAAAAACTGGGGGGCGCTGGTGAGTAAGACATGGAGTAGGACGCATATCTCAGAGCTCCTGCAAAATCCGTAATATTATTTCATAAAACAGCCACTTTTGAACTGAAACGTGTGCAACAGACTGGAGTGACATCAGACGAAGTAGGAGAACGGATGGTGTTTGTGAGTTGATGGCGGAAAAGCTTCAGAAATACAAATTCTGCGCAAGCACTAGCAACCAAGCTAATCTAGCGAGGCCGGGGCCTGTAACGAGGACAACCACGAGGTTAGCTGTGCAGGGCGACGCACGCACGGATACGGACCAACCCTCACCCACCCCGAGTGAAAGTCCAGGTATGACGGCCGAGGACTTAAAAGTGGAGATTTTGGCGTCCCTGAGAACTGACATTAAAGGAGTAATAAGAGAGGAGCTCAAATCAGCGTTAGCAGATGAGCTAAATGTACTCAAGAACGATTTGCAAGGACTTAAAACAGCAGTGGCTAAAGATACAAAAGCTATCCGTGATGACTTGGAGCTCATAAAGACAGACGTGCAAGATGTGAAAGGGGGGTTATCAACATGGTCCGATGAAGTATCATCACTGCAAGATACAGTGACCAACCTCAAGAAGGAGTTGAAGTTTATTCGGGATAAATGCGATGACATGGAGGGCAGAATGAGGCGATGCAATATACGCATAGCAGGAATTGCGGAGGCTAACCCCAGCTCTCCAAAAGCTGTTGCTAGCGCACTGAGAGAGATGTTACAACTCGATCGGGACATGAAAGTGGACCGTTCACATCGTGTGTTTGGGAGTTCAAAAGATCGGGAGAGACCACGGGTGATAATTGCAAAAATGCATTATGATGAGGACGCTGCGGAGATCCTACGGAAAGCCCGCGACAGAGCCCCGCTGTTTTACAATGGTCAGCGCGTGTCGATATTTCCAGACTACACCGCTAGTGTCGCAAAGGCCAGAGCTGCTTTTTCAGAGGTGCGAGGAGCACTACGAGGACGGAGGGACGTACGCTACGGTCTGCTTTTTCCTGCCCGTCTCCGAATTACGTACAAGGATGAGAGTAAGGACTTTTTGGACCATCGGAAGGCCATGGACTATGTCAAGCGCATTCTCCCAGAGGAGCGGCCGGAGCCAGATGACTGAATTCATCCAAGAGCGTATGTAACAACAAAAGCTATGACATTATTGTCAGAAGGCCATAAGGACTGATACGGGTTATTATCAGTATTATATTATTATTACTATATCCTACTTTATCTACAATTTACATTACGTTATTATGCAGGTTATACTTTTGCCAATATTTATCACATGAATATGTGGAAGTAAAGAGCTGTGGTATTTATTTCACTGCAGGAGCCTGGGATATTGCTCTTTTTCTTTTTGTTTCAAATTTGGTCTACTTTTATCTTTTGTTATTGTCTTGGCTAACCTTTAGGCACAGTCAACTTAAATCTAGACTGCGCACTTCTACTGCTTGTTGAGCAGCCAGGGACGAGTTTCCCCACGTATATTTTGTTATGTCTACTTTAAGTGTTTGTGATCAGTTTAGGTTCAGTGTTTTGGTTTTGATCCCCTTGTTCCCCAGGGATCCTGAGTTTAACGATCAAGCAACTGGGTTATCCTCTTTGGTTCAATTACATCGTTTAATTAACATTATTATCTGTGTTTGCTTTGTCCACTCAGAATGGTTACAATATTTCATCTCAATCTTAATATGGTTTATAAAAGACCAAGCCATTATCAACATCTCCGCTTCCTGTCCTCTCCCCCAATTAGTTGATTCAAATTTAGAATCTAGAGTGTGATGGGCGATTTAAGAATTGTAAGTTATAATGTGAAAGGACTTCATAATCCAATTAAGAAAAAGAAAATATTATGCCAGCTTAAACAACTTAATTGCCATATAGCATTTCTACAAGAAACACATTTATCTGATGCAGAACACGAAAAATTAAAGTCCTGGGCAGATAAGATATATTACTCCTCCCACAGATCTGGACGAAAGAAAGGGGTTTCCATACTTATCCACAGGCAGATCAACTTTACAAAAACCTCAATCCATAAGGACACTGAGGGGAGGTTTCTCCTAGTTAATGGTGTGATAGACGGTGTAGATGTGTCCCTTTTTAATGTTTATGCACCCAATGAAGATGAGCCGGGTTTTATTAGGACTTTGTTCAATACAATTCTACTGCATAGTACAGGGCTATTGCTGATGGGTGGGGATTTTAATTGTGTAATGTCTCAGTTTGCTGATAGACAACCACCCTCCAAGACATCAATGTCTAGAATGAGTAAAGCACTCAAACATCATGCTGCAGAAGCAGGCCTAGTAGATGTATGGAGAAGCAAGTATCCGAGAAGTAGAGATTTCACTTTTTATTCAAACAGACATTTGTCTTATTCAAGAATAGATTATTTTTTTACCCCCAAAATAGATCTGCACAGAATTAAGCATATTGAGATTATGCCGATAACCATTTCTGACCATGCACCCATTTTATTACAATGGGATGTAGGGCACAGGTCAACAATTAAACAGTGGAGGTTAAATACTTCCCTCCTGAATGATACAGATTTTTTGTCCTTTATAACAGCCGAGTTTAAGGAATATCTCAATAACAACTCCACATCAGAAACTAACCCCTTAATCTTATGGGACTGTGCTAAAGCATATATCAGAGGCCGCATTATTTCATTTTCCTCTGCAAGAAAGAAAGAGAAGAAAGCCAAACAGCAGGAATTGGAAGATAAAATTAAAACTCTGGAATATAAACATAAACGCTTTACAACAACCATGATTACAAAAGAGTTAAATGCGGCTCGCAGAGAACTTAATAGTCTATTGTCTGATAAAATTGAAGGAAACCTAAGATTTACAAACCAAAGGTACTATGAGCATGGAAATAGAGCTAGCAAGTTATTAGCATTCAGACTTAGGAAGCAACAATCCTCAAACATAGTCCAGAAAATCAAATCCCAATCAGGTTTTGTCACACAAAACCAAATGATATTTCAAAATCATTTGCAGAGTTTTATGAATCACTTTATAAAAATACAGATACATGCTCAAATGAGACAGACCTTGCAAGATACTTGGAGAACATTAATGTAACAGAATTGACAAACTTATCAGCAGAGGGTTTGGATAAACCAATTGAAGAGAATGAAATTAAGCAGGTTATTTCCTCTCTTAAAAATAATAAAAGTCCGGGCCCAGATGGCTATGTCAATGAGTTCTATAAGGTTTTTAAGGATTTGCTGACACCCTTGTTGCTGAACGCATATAGGTATGCACTGGATAAACACATTATGGCACCATCATGGACTGAGGCAACTATAATTGTAATTCATAAAGAGGGTAAAGACCCGACGGATTGTCAGTCCTATAGACCTATATCTTTGCTGAATGGTGACCTGCGTATACTAACAGCTGTACTGGCCAGACGTGTTAACAAGATAATATCTCAAATTATACACCCTGACCAGACCGGTTTTATTACAGGACGATATTATGGAGATAATGTTCGGCGCCTATTAAATATAATTTCCCATCTGAAGGATAAAAAACTGGAATCGGTGATCATAACTTTAGACGCCCAAAAAGCATTTGATAGAGTATCATGGCAATATCTATTACAAGTACTAAAACGATTTAAATTTGGTCCAAATTTTATTAAATGGGTGCAGACTCTCTATACATCCCCACAAGCAGCAGTTAGGGTTAATGGGTGTAGATCAGAGAGATTCACATTAGAACGTGGTTGTCGGCAGGGTTGCTCTCTCTCTCCCCTATTGTTTGCCATCAGTATTGAACCACTTGCCCAGCTTATTAGAGATGAC